ACAAACGTGGTACTTTGTTACAGCAGCCCTAGGAAACTAATACAGTTGCTGTCACAAGTACCTCTGATGCTGCTATGCTTTGCTGGTATTTTCTTCAATTATGAAAGTAAACAAGTTTCAGTTATAGATTAGTAAAAACACTCTGAATTCTAAGACTCTTATGTCTAAATCAATTTAACACCTCAGTCTGAGATCCATTACTAATAAACTATGTTTTAGCAAAACTAATGAACTATGTTTAAACAAAAATACACCAATAAGTTTGTTTGTTTGTTTTCCATTTCAAACCATTCTGAGTGCCACAAAAACAACATCTTGGGGATTTCTAGTAACTTTGGTACTGGACTCTAAAATGAGATGCAGCTATGACATACAACTTGAGATAAACAGCAAATTAAACTTAAATGTTAAAGAATGAAAAAATTCATTGTCTGAGTTAATTTGTTGCACTGAATAAATGTGAAATTATCCTTTAGTATTAGATTAACATGATTTGTATGAATAACCAAATGAGAAGATTTACTTTTGACACTTCTAGGCCAGTAAGTAAAGCATGAGGGCTAGTGTCTTGTTAATATATTCCTCTCAGAACTACTCAAATTGATGTTTAAGCCCAATAGCCTTTTGTTTACTTATTCATCCAGAGACCATATTTATTTAAAAGAAAAAAAGAAAAAGAGCACTACAAAGTTCTCCATCTGTGATGTATATATATTATCAAAGACACATGGCTATTAAATTAAGCTCAAAATGAGAAAGTCTTAAAAGATTATGAATGCACCAACTGTTTCCAAATTTATCTTGTTTCTTCAAAATTCATGCTTCTACTTCATAATACTACAAGATCTCTACTGGAAGTCTTTCATTTGCTTAAATATGTCAAAATCAACAATCTAATAAAATTGACCAATTAACAAATATGTATGTTACAAGTCTAGTGACTTGCAATGTGTCTACCACTGTATTACTTTAGGGTAATTTAGCACAAGAAGGGCCCATAACGATGCTTAGTTCAAATTCCTTGATTTACAAGTGAGCAAACTGAGGGCCACAAAGGCTGTCACTTGCCCAGAATCACAGAATAAATTAGTGACAGTGAGGACAGAAATGCATCTCCCAATTCCAAGTCCAATGTTCTTTATAGTATACCATACTGCATAAAAGTTGGTAAGAGTTAAATTATCTGCAGATGCCTTTTGTATGATCATTTTAATTCTGCTTATATTTAAAAACAGTCCAATTGCCCCAAAACAACCTAACAAGTTGTTTGAAAACTCAATTTTATTTTATTATCCATCACATCTTAAAAGTAGGAACATGATCTCACTTTCACCTTCAAAATTGGCAAAATTTTTTTCAAAGAGAACTGGACAGACATTTCAAGGCATAAGCACTCTCACACACTGTTTCTTTTCTAGAGGGCAATTTAGCAGAAAAAATAAAACAACTTAAAATTTGCATCTTTTACTCTACTCCTAGACTATTTCAAGGAAAAAGTAATAAATTTGGATGAAGACAGAACTCAGGATCAAATGCAGCATTGTTCAGAAATAAGAAATATAGTAGACTGATTAAAACTAATATATGTTATACAGTGAATATAATGTAGGCATTAAAAATTATGTTTTAGGAAATATTTAATGACACAGGAAAATGTTCACAATATATTAAGGTATGATAGTACCTACTATGCAATTCTACTCTGTTGAAGCTACATGTATATACATAAATTACACAATACATGTGTAAAGCATTTATCACATATTTTTATTCCTGGCACATAGTAAAAATCCAATAAATGAATATGATTCATCATCAACATCACAGAAAAGGTAAAGTTTGATTATATGTCAAATGTTAAGACTTATTAAATAAATAAATATTTGTTAAATAAATTATTACTTACTTTAAAGACTATTTTGTACATTATTTGAAATGAACTATTACTCTTGCATGGAGGAATTTTTTTTTTTTTTAATGGCACTTTTAATGCAGTTCCAGTTCCTACTGAAGGTCAGAGAAGAAAAGCTGACTTTCACCAACCCTTCCCCAAGTTTGGCACTGCATAAGACAAAGTGTTATAGACTTATAATATGATCCTTCAGTAATTCTTGATTAATTATATACCCACAGTCAACCTCTGAGAACTATTTCTCTCTATATACAGAACTCTAATTTCAAATAAGCATGTACTAGAGGATTTCAAAATGAGGCCTCTAAAGGCCTTACTGGATTTTACCACAATGGCTATCTAGAAAAGTTTAACAGTTTGCCAAGATATTGGTGATTTTCACTCTTTCTAAAGGTCAAAATCAGGTGGAAAAACATTCGAGTGTTAAGAACAGTCTCTAAGTAAATACCTATTGGTTGTGGATTTAAAAAAAGAGAGAAAAGCAAAAGGAAAAAATAAACACAAGGCCCAAATAAAATCCATATTACAGGGCAGTTTTAAACTATGCTAAGGCTTTAGGGGCATCTACAATAATATATCTCTTGTTTCTTCATAATGTGTATGATTGTATATAATAAATTGCCATTTCAAAACATTACTATGTATATGAAAGATGAAATATGTAAGTTATCGGGATAAAGTCTACATTCCGAAGAAGTTCACTCTTTGTGATTTAGCTATTTTACACAAACAATGCGGACTATAATAAAACTGATTATCAGATGAACACATCACTTTCTAAAATAAAAAAAATTTTAAAGTAACACCTCCAAGAGTTTGTCCCCATGAAGAGTTAACATCTCATGGCAAAAAATTATACGCTAAAACATATTCTTCTTGATCTACAAAAATTAACATAACAAAGCCCCTAGTAGGGAAAAATTTACTAATAAACCAGGATAAATTTGTGAAAACAGAATTCTAAAAGTCTGGGTGAGTGAGATAATTTCCAAATTGTCCCATACTAAATACATTAAAAAAAAATTTTTTTTTAAAAAGGCAATCCTACCAGTAAATATTGCCCTTAGGTGTTTCAAATATCAAAATCTTTGGACTTAAACCACCGGGAATATTTATTCATTTTTAGTGTAAAAGTGATATCATCCACTGATAATCACTACACTGAAAAACCTGTACTCTCAATTTGTCCATGACAAGTATTTGAAAAAGAGGTCACTTAAAAACTATTTCACAGGTGTGTCAATTCACATTCCCATATTAGCGTTTCTAATTAGCTGCACCCAAAAAGGAGGTATTCAATATTTTACTTTAAATATAGTAATTAGTCTTCTCCCATCTCCAAAATAGAACTTGACATTTTAATCCAGGCTACTTTCTTAAAAGAAGACGGCAGCAAAAATTATCGTCATTCTGTTCGGATTTTTAGCAGTTTTTCTCCTAAGCTTTGAGATACTTCTTGATCTCTCTCAAAGTAGGTCTAATCTGCGGAAGGCAGTGAGACAGTGTACTGCACTGTGAATGGACAGCCAGGTATTTTATGAATGGAGGCGATCACGTGATCCCAGCACCTCCCCGAACTGATATTTCCCACATAACTGTGTCAACATTCTGAGAACAGGGGTAGTTGTTTGTGTGGGCGTCTATTTTTGAATTTAACCTATAACTTCAAATTCTCCTTACTTTCTGAACTCAAAAATCTACATGAAGACAGACAGCTGAGCTTCGAATTTTTTTCTTGGGAAATCCTTTCAAGATGCCCAAGGTGATGGGTGTTTAATTATTTTTTTATGAATGAAGAGTGTGCTATGCAAATGAGGGCGATTCACAAAAAGAGAGAGAACATGGCGGCCACTTCTGCTTCTAGACTGCACTGACACTGCAGCAATCCACCTTCTCCCACCCCCGCTCATCAGAAGAGTGTTTTGAGGGGTGGGGGGACGCTGCTTGGCATTTCTCAAGCTATTTTATGTTAAACAAGCCTAGGCCTTGGACTTTAAAGTTTTCTCAGAAAGGTCTGATCCGAGGAATGCACTTTACTTAAAGGAATGCGTCCTAGGACTAGTCCTAACTCACTTAACCATTTCCAACCCTCCGAAAATAAAACTTGAATTTAATTACAAGAAAACAGACACAAATATTCGCATGGAATTAAACCCCGTCTCAATAGGAAACTGTTGCCGCATCATTATTCCTCCAGTCAGCTGTTATGTTAAAGCAAAATATTTAAAAGGCAAAGTATTTCGTTTGGAAAACATAAGGACAGCCCAAATAAACAAAAACTTAAGCCGGGACGCTCTACAAGTTAATGAATGAAGTCATCAACATGTTCAGCAATGTAAACAGTGTTAAATCAACGTAAACGGTGTGTTTCAATATAGCTGAAAGATAAAAATTAGCCTATAAAATTCTTTTATGCTCCTAATAAAGACAAATCCAGTATTCGCAAAGGCAAAATAGAATAGTTCAACATCTCCCACACTCCAGGTGTCCCTAATGCTATTAAATTATAAAAATGTTTCCCTCGCCCCATTTTTTACAAGAATCTTACAGGTCATAAGTTTAAAAACGGCGGGGGGGAGGGGAGAAAGGCTTAATCGGTATTTAAGAGTCACTGACTCATCGAATTAAGATTCAAGAGCAGTTTGCTGCAAGAGGTGCTCCCACACATTAGTTTCCAAGTGAAATAGCTATAAAGGAGTCTGGACGGATATTCAAGGTATGTTGACTGGTGTGCTAAAGTGAAAAAGGACAGGTCAGAGGTCTTCCAGGCACTGGGGTAATTTCTACCCCGACTCCATCCATCTACATTATTCCATCTCATGGACATACAATTGCCATTCCAGCCCAACTCCAGCCCAACATTCAATACCTTCTCCCAGAAGAAAGCAACTAAATACTGGGGGTGGGGGTGGGGGTCGGGGGTTGCTGCCATTAAATAAAATGGCTAAGGAAATCAAATGTTTTCTCCAGAACAGAATGCACTCAACTCTCCAGGATTGCAAGCACCCAAGTCTCCGAGGGGGTCTGGGGAGGTGCCGAGGAAGAATGGGGGTGGGGGGGAAGTAATCTAGATCTGTGAGGTGCTTACTCGTTGTCAGAAGTCGCCGTCTCCTCGCTCATCTTTCCCTCACCGTGATCCGATCTGGAGATGGAGGAGCAACAGCAGGCGGAGGAGCAGCAGCAGCACCGAGGGGCAGGAGGCAGCGGCGGCCGGGGGGGCGCGGGGGCAGCGGCTCAGGGGCCTCACCATGGTGGATGCCTCACCCGGAACGGTGCCCCCCCAGCCGGGAACCCCGGCCACCCCCGCAGGGGGGTGGCGGCGACAACCTCCGCCGTGGCGACCCCAGCCTCTTCCCCCGCCTCAGCGTCCAACCAAGAGATCCGATGAGGCCGGGGAGGATTGGGAGCGAAGGAAAAAAGGAAGGGGGTTGTGAAGGCAGACTGGAGAGCGGCTCCTCCGGCCACTGGGGTGGAGCGCGGTGGGGTCCGGCCAGCAAGGAGCGAGCGGGCGGGCGGGCGGAGAACCCGGGAGCAGAGGCGGCGCTTCCCTCAGGGATGCGGCGAGGAGGAAGCAGGGCTCCGCTCGGTGGGGGCCGGCGGGGGGGTGCCGAGCCCAGGCTCCGGGCGGCGGCGGCGCGGTCCTGCAGGAGCCCACCCCACCATCTCCCGCCTCGCCGCCGGCTGCCCGCTCAGCCCCCGGCGGCGACCGGGCCGGTCCTTCGGGACTAGCAGAAGCGGGCGAGGGGCCTCACGGCGGCGGATTCCTCCAGACACGCTCCGGCCCGAACGACTCCAGAGGGGGGAAGAGGGGGCGGCGGGCCGCGTGT